AGGAGCTGCTGCACTGCATCCAGGCTCGCAGATGCAACTGCCTGGTAAGATCTAGTCACTAACACTGCATGATAATGGTAACGATAGTAATAATATGTAATCCTCCTACTAAACTTCTGCAGAGTTTAAGGTGATCTGAGCAAAATGAGGCTTTGACCTGCTGATTATTCTACACGCTCCGCTCATCTGGCCAACACGCAGAAACGGTGTAATTAAGTGAACGGCAGCGTCAACTACACAGGTCAACAGGGGAAAGGCTGACAAGCGTCAATCCCCATACCGTCCACACCAGCATTCCAAGTTGTGAATGTGGCAAAGAGCTATCCGGATCCAACAAAGCTGACTGCAATCCCGTATGGAAGTACGTAAAAAAACCTTCCTTAAGATATGAGGAGTTGATGAGACCATGTGAGCCTTGGAGCTGTCGCCCATGCGTGGAAGCAAGAGTGCCAAGGACCTCACTGCACTCCAACTCATCATCAGTGCCCCTCTATGTCCACTCCTGAAACATTCGGATCCTTGCAAAACCTAATCAGACTCAAACGCGTTATGCGGAAGGCCATACAAGCTTGAATATTACTGCGACAAGATCCTACTAAAGCAGTTTTGCCTTATGCGCGACTACCTTGGTTCCGACTGCTGCTACCGTCCATATTGGCTTTCACCAACCAACCAATTCTTGAGTGAAATGATTTCACAAAATACGAGTCGCTCATAGGAGCACTACAGCACGCCCTTCTTACTCTGGGTGCTCCTGAGGACTGCACTCCGACCAATCTCCCAGATCTGAGCCTGCAGGCGTGACAGTGCAGCCGCGCTGTAGGAGCCAGCAATCATAGTCTGACATCAAGATGAAGTTGAGACAGCCAACCAGAGGAATCGCGGTCACCGACATATACTCAACTCTTGACCCCTGACATGGACATAGGAGATGCCGAAAAAAATTGCGGTTACAGGAGAAGGGAAGCAGCAGCAGCAGCAGCAGCAGCAGCAGCAGCAGCAGCGTCGTAGGCAGTAGTAGCGGTCATAAGGAGAAGAATAGTCATGACTATTGTGGATGCATAGCAGTATGATGATGGACATGCAAGCTGAGGTAAATACGATGATGCTGAGGATGGTGGCGGTGGCGGTGGCGGTGGCGGTGGCGGCGGTGGTGGTGACGATGACAAAGATACCCACTGTGGCTTTGTAGGACGACCAGGCCTGAAGCGGCATCCTCTGCATCCTCGTTGGGGAGTGCAACCAAGGGGGCCACTTTGCAGAGTTCACCTGGCAAGGTGTCGGAGCGTACGCGTTTGAATAATGTCATGACTTCAATGGTGGTAGCATTGGCAGGATGGTCACCATGGTCATGTCAACTAACAATCAAGTCATAACATGTCATAACAATGACCTGCCATGGCCATGGGAATAGCATTGGTCATAATCCAAATTGCAGCAATGTATGCGTAGCAATGACACGTGCATTCCTGCACCTCTGAATTCCGTAGAATTTGCCTCGCTCCCCAGCTTCTGACGCGTTTCTATGGCTGGCTGATGGACATATGTAGACTTGAGCAGCAACATCGGCAAGAAATAAAAGCCGGAGATGCCAATGATCTGCATGCAGGTCCAACCTTCATGCAATTTTCGTGTGTGTTTCCGCGACGCAGCGGCAAATGTAAACACCAGAACTTTCAGAGACCGAAGCATGACTGCAAGACACATGAGCAAAACAAGGCTAAGGTCAAGAAGTCCTCTTCGAGAGTTGCTCAGCTTGTGATGCACCCATTTGGGGACGTCACCGGTATCCCCTGAGATTGAGGCTCTTCTAGGGGCCTAAATGATTGCCTGGCTATTAAGTAAGCGGAATGATCAGATGGAACATTAAGCGGAAACTGGCTCAATGTTAGGCTTGTCTCTCTTCAGATGGGGATCCTGCGAACAGACTCCGCATGACTCCGGGCCCCTGCAGAATGGACGGCCTGCGAGTGACACCACTCGGGTTGCTCAACACAGGGGTGCCAAGGGATCCCATGGATGATTCAGGGGTATATATGAGGCATAAACTCCTAGTATCCCTATAATACTATGGCTCATATAAAGAAAGCATTATTGATCTTCAACAGCCCTTGCATTCGGACTCTGCCTGACCTCTGCAGACAAGCTGGTTGTTGAATGCACAATATGCGCCTAACCAAGATCTCAGCGAAAAGAGTAGCCCAGCACAGCAAGGCTGCTCAAGTATCACTTTGGCTGCTCAAGATTTGTCGTCTACACTCAACACAACCTGACGTCAACTTGGAACCTTCGTGCAGATCTCTGACGACAACATGGGTAACTGGCAAAGCTAGGTTTCTTACTCAAGTCCCAAACACAACCCCACGCTCCTATTACTGAAAGATCAGGACGCAGAACTCTCAGTGTCAAACCCCATAAACGCCCGCGAGACTCTCTGAGGAATCTACAGAATCCTATCTAAGCCGTAGCACCACACCCACTGGGAGTGTCTCAATGCCACCCCCAGTCTTTCAACAATCACAACCTCGCTAGGGTTCTCAAGGACCCCCTTTAGAGGAACCCCCACTTCAGGGCCTGCAAGAGCCTCGAAATCCCGAGCCAAGTGTGGGCATGAAAGAGCAAGGCCTTCATCAGGCCTTCGTTAGGGCTAAGGTTGAGCTCTCTACATGGGATTTGGAGATGATTAGGGTATATTTTGGATAGGGGTTGCTGCTTTCAATGAGGATTGGGGGTTATTGGGGTGTTGTTATAGGGATTAGCGGCTAGCGCCTCTGAGGCCCTCGTGAGGCCGGGGTCGTTCGCTTCATCTTATAGATGTTGAGTACAATGGTGACCCCACAACCCTATGACGAACACAATGTTGTCAACTCACAATGAAACAAGGTCCTGAATGGGAAGTGGAATATATCAGTGAGATTTTGGGTTTGAAAGACAATTTCTTAGGCGGTTATATGGGGGATTGCTGTCTGTTCTTGTGACACTCCCTGCTCCTACATTTCCGGTGCTTGGGGATCCAGATTTTGAGCTTCCACAGTGGCAGGCCGCTTCCCTACATTGTGGATATTTGCACAAAACAATGGCAGCAATTTCAAGAATGTTTTCAGGCATACTCATAGTAAAACTGCGGCATGCGTTCTTGCTTGAAATTCTAGGCTCATTCCACAGAGGTTCTAGTCCTTCACAATGTCTGCTCTCGTGCTGCCCTTGCGCCCAGACCGTTGGGGCCAAGCATGTCCATGCAAGCCAACAATTACTCATCTCAACTCTCAAGGGCAGCATGTGTACCATCACCTACTCCTCCTCTTAATACTGCTGCTGCTACTGTATGATGTCTGGAAGTACAGGCTTGCAGACATCAGAATCTTCTTGCGCCTGAAACACAGCTGCTAAGCGCGCTGCCAGTCACACCCTGCAAGCGTTGGTGCAGAACTGCCTACAGGAAAGTCTCAAGTGGTGCCAAAACTTGCAGCCACTTTTGGGCAACCCATCGGGGCTTCAAGGTCATCAGTTTTCCGAGGGATTCAGGCGACGGATTAGAGGCTGCGAGCCTCACCGATTGGCTGAAGCTGGTCATGCAGCGCCACTCACATGGGGGTTTCTCGAAATTAGGGGAACTTTTTTCTGGGGGGGCCCAATAATAAGGATTCAATCCTGCTTATAATATTTGAGGGTCTATATTGGGAGTCCCCTATTTGGGGAAACTACCACATGTCTCGCACGGCTCTTTTCTGCAGCTGTCATACTTCTGATTGCTCCACACGGGGGGTCATCAACCGCCCGGTGCGCTGTGGCCTAAATCTAGACTGCTACAGATTGGCCTGTGCCAAAATTAAGGTCCCCGTGCACGCACAACAACATTGCTCAGGTTCTCTGGAGCACTTACCTTGAAGAAAGAAAGGGGATCTTAATTTTCGCGCCAGCCTAGAAGCGAGGCAGTGTTGATGGAGCGGGCCTGAGACCGCAGACCGAATTTACTAAAACACCACACCAGAAGGAGGACATCTTATCCACTGTAGATTCATCATCATGAGTGGCTCTCAAAAAGGGGGCCCTTTCTTCAAAGGGTCCCTTCAAGATGGCAGCAAATTCAGTCGAAGGCCTCCTCTGATGCCCAAACACATAGTCGTCCCAATTATTATTCCATTATTCCCAATAAGATGCTGTTTGCTCGTGGGGGCCCATGGAATTTGGAGGCTAAGCACCCTAAACCCTAAGCCCCATAGCACGACTAAACCACGAAGCTCGATGGGGCCGCTTGGCACGGCAAAGCTTGGATAGGTTCTTCGAGTCCCGCCAGCCAGCGTAGGCTCCAGCCTCAGCAACTTGTGAGATGAAAGGAAACCAAAATCATGGTCACCATGTTGGGGGTTCAAAATGGGCATTCTCTGCCTGTACGCAAAATTGCAGGGCGTGGATAGTCCTTACAGCTTCTTAAAATTACGGCTGTCGTTTTGTGGGACCCGTGCCCAGGCTTGTTCAAGATGGGGACCCCAATTTGGCGCATGCCCAGCTTCAGTTTGGCTCCACACTTCCTGTAGTAATTTGTCGAACTTGGTTGCAATCCCCCTACTAATTTTGCATGGTCACGCTTTGCAAGGCGCTCAGCCCTAAACCGAAGGGCGCGGCTCGGCCACTTTAAATGTAAATCAACAACATTAGGCCTCAGGTTTAATTGCGGAGATCTCCAGGTCCTCATGGCCTTCCAAGTAAGGCTAAGCCTTCAAAATGGGCCCCTGCCTGAGAGGCCTCCCGGTCCCGATCAGGAGGGCGGCAAGGAAAACCAGCCAGCGCCAGTCAGGCTTTGAGCTGGGGGGTTTAGGGCATCTACTTTATAACAGATAGCAGGTCAAAATCCTTACAGGTAAGAAGAATGTCAATGGAGCTGAGGTCCCAGGCTTTGACTGGAGCCTCCCACGCAACTCTACTGTAGAATCCCTTCATACTCTTGCAAATACTAACACCTCACACCCTGAACCTAGCCTAGCCTGTAAGAGACCCACCTGGCTCAAAGACGCGGCCATATGGCATGCGCCAGGTCCAGAAGAAGCCTTGCAGGGTGCTGATAGAAGACATCCTGCACCATCCTAAGTACTCAAGATCCAAGACTTGCACTAGTTTAGTTTATAGTCCCCCTTAAATCGATAGAATATGGGGTATATGGGGATCTTATTATAAAATACCCAAAGCCATATTCTATCTACTTTAGGGGGATTATAGACTTAGGGACCCTGATTAATGCAAGCTTTTCTCTAGCAACCCCGCCATGCAGTACTTGCGGACACCTTTTTGCTGCTTCGGTTGACAGGGGTCCAATGCTTCCGCCTTATGGGTCCCCACAGAAGGTCCATGCTCCTCAGTCAAAAAATCTATCTTTATTCGTACTAGAACGCTGAGGATGGCTTAAGGTGGTTTGGGCTTAGGCTGGCAGTTGCTGCAGCATGCACCATGAAAATGGCTCTTTCCCGAAGAAACTTAGGCAAAGATTATCAAAGAACAGCACACTCTGGCGCCTGTAGCGGGGCTTGGGGGGATCCAACATCTGAGAAACCCACTCATTACCTTTGCTGTCTGGGAGTTCTGCTTCCTTTTCGAATAGAGATGATGGGCTGTGACAAGGTGAGCATAATGTTGACAAGCTCCCTGAGCCTTCAAGGCAATCCTCACACCGAACCTTGAGAATACTGACACCAGCCATTTTGTAGAGAGGATTGCACCCCCTCCCACCTTGAAGGCCGACCTCATCCCACGCGCTCAGCTGCTCCTGCTCAGCATCTCTTCGACGAAGCAGTGTATTAGTTTAGGGCTGGAAATTTGAATTGCCCCTTCAGCAGCTTGAGGCTAATTATTCTGGGGCTTAGGCTTTCCCTAAGCGTAGCAATTCAAAAACAGAAGTACACTTCAAGTGTAGTGCTACTTATCTTCCTCTTCTTTTCTCATCTTATTCTACTTGTTCTTGTTATTGCTATCGAGGCTGAAATGCAATTGTAGCATATTATAGCTGTGTATGATCGTGCCGTTTCTTTTTGTTCTTCTGTTCTGCTTTTGGACGTTTTGCTATTTCAGTCAGATTAGCCGTACGCACCCTGAGCAGTGACGACTCCTGCTACGATCCGAAATATTAATATGCTCTCGTCATAACAAATGAGCCGCATTTGGACTATACGAGCAAAGCGACAAACGCAGGCCATGCGGTCATCAGTCCGATAAAACGAATTAAGATGGCCTGTTGAGCATATGAGTGAGCGTCGGCTTTTACGTATAACCTGATTCTTGTATGGCATTTTTAATCCACGGCCCCTCATCTCGTTCGCCTTATGTAATGTTGTATTGTATCTTGACAACATCACCTGATCTCGTTCGCCATGTTGGAATCTGTAATGTGCTTGTATCGCCCAGGAAATTGTGGCCCATCTCGTTCAATCCACGGCCTATCTAGTTCCCAGAGGAGCGCTGACCCTAGATGCAAAAACACCAATGCGTCTGGTCTACTCTCTTACGTAAATAAATGCGGCTGCTCATGTAATGCCTCACAGCATACTCAAGTCACCCAACTCTGCACCAGCGATCGCTATCCTTACGAGTACGTTGTAGCCTCTCATCCTGGAGCTATCACATGCAAATCCAGAAAAGACCAAGAGCTCGTTAAAGTCTTTTGTCTTGCCTAGACGTAACAACTGTAAAAGCTACTAGTACATACTTTGGGAAGAATACAAACGGATCGGAAACAAGTAGCACGAGGCATGCATCTTCTTCCGGGCTATCCTGTTGCCATTTCCATCTATTCCGATCTGTCCTCTTCTGGCCAGATGTTAGTTCCTCTGTTCTGTGCGTTGCATCTGGTTTCTCTGCGCAGTTGTCCATTGCTTTGAGTTCGTGTGCCTTCATGCCATTGTGTTGGCCAAGCAGAAGGCTGTTGCCCCTGCGTGCTTTCCAACGTTGCATTTGCGTTTGCTTGTCATTTTCTTGAGATGTCGGAAATCCTCTGCCAAACGAAGCTGACAAACATTTCGAGATGTATGTCAGACCAATTAAGAATGCACAGGTCTTCACGTCAAGAGGCTTAGTATTGACTGTTCCACCAGCCCTTGGCACCAGAATCCAAGCCCAAGACAGCTCAAGCGATCTCCATGAACCTATAATAAGCACTACTATAGTATATTTGCGCTATATTGGGGGCTATATTCAGATAATGGAAAAGAAAATGGAAACTACTATGGTCTGTTGGGGTTATATTGGAGTTAGCATTGCCGGAGCTGTAGGGGCTGTGGTTTGGGGTAATATTTAAGTTATACGGGGATTATATTGGGATGATGGAAAATATGGAAACTACTATTTAGGGGTCAGGGTTTAAGGTTTAGAATTCCGCCATGCAAGAATCATTTTTGCTACGGGTATGTAAAGTGGTAGAACTAAGTGTCTGCCAAGGGTGTCCCGTCCCAGCATCCCCTGAATGGGCTCTCCAAATGCGTGCACTGGCGAAGATATCAAAGGCACCTGTAACTTTAAGAGCCTCCTGAATCCCGCGAACATGGCCCCTAACCCGGAATCCCATTAAACCCCCCAAATTCTTGTATAATCCTCTGAAAACTGTGCCTGGAGGTACACTCGAAGTACGGCGCGATCTGTACAGGCGAAACGAGCTGCTTCTGCCTTAACCAAGGCTTAGGGTTCAGAGAGAATCTCCTCTGTATCCTTCCGTTGACAGTGAATAACACCCAACAATAAGATTCCGCATACAGATGTAGGGGAAACAATGGATGCATCCTACATCAGCCAGAAAGCATTCACGCATCGCACGCGTTGCAAGCAAAGCTGCCTCCATCAGCATACAGGGCTTGCCTTTATTTTTAAGTAGAAGGCTTAAGGCTTAAGGAGATGGGGATCATGTTCAAATCTACCCAGCTGCTGTGCCAGCCGAGAACTCGCTGACAGCCATCAGCCCGCCGAACTGACCTAAGTTACCAGGTTGCTGTCCAGCCGTGAAACCCAGCCTGGGTATTTCCTTAACTTCGAAATCAGGAGAAGTAAAAGGCGCTGGATGGCTAAGCGGCTGTTGAACTTGGTGGAGAAGGCTGTTGCGCAAGAACGCATCTTACGTCTTATCGTCTCCAGAGGCGCATCGCATGTGAGGCCTTTCAGGGTGGTCTTCTGACAACTCGTCAAAGGATCTGCTGAATGGCCTATCGTTGATTATGTGCTGGATATAGTTCAGCCAGTTCTAAAAATGATTCCAGGCTCACCCTTTTAATGAGTCCGTAAGTGAGTTCCCAGGAATTAAGCAGAACAAGAGTACCCTGACGCCTCCATCCTCCGAGGTACGCATGTCGCAATTGCCTGAATCCCAGGCAGTATACCAATGCTGGTCAGCGACCACCCAGCTCAACCTCTCTGTCTCTGTAAAAGTCTCAGAGAACCACGGCACAACAGTCTCGGTGAAGTTTTGAAAAGCAGTATCTATCATCTGCATGTAGAGTTTCACGCCTAGGCTTGGCAGTTTGGAGAGTCGGAAGATCTGCGCCGCATTGGCTAGCCACTTGAGGATCTCCGCCTCCTCTGCAAACTTAGCCCCGGAATTCAGATGGGCCGGCTCGTTCATCACAGTGAGGCCCAAGAGCCCTGCCTGAGCCTCCAGGTCCAGTCCCTCGAGCCACGTCACTGCCGAGCCGACAATCCACAGGCCCACCTGGGTCAGGTCCTGCTGGCCAATCTTGGTCTGATTCCGCCAGAAAGCGGGCTTGTCAGGCCATACTCCATTATAAGTGCCCAGGGATGATCCGCCAGGAAAGGCGTGAAGGTCGATGAGAACCCTGAGGCCATGCTCGGCACAACGCCGCAGCAGCTGGGCCAACCAATTCCGCGGGATCGTTGCAAAGGCCGCCCGATCGTTGTAGAAGGGGTCTGGCACAATCACGGTCTCATTGCGTGGGTTGTGGGAGCCATACACTTTCTGATCCAGTGGCACCAGGGCATCGGCAAAAGCAGCCCAGGTGATAGGCACTCTGACCACACTAAGACCTAGCTCCCGGATGGCTGCCAAATCTATCTCGCCAATGAATGAATGCCGATGAGCTGTCAAGGCCTTGATGGTGAAGTTGGTGCCCTTCGTCTGGTTTAACCTGTAGGTGAGGTGGCCTTCTGAAGGCCAAGGCTTGTCCAGCTGCGTCAGGGCTGGTGGCAAACAGGCGCCCTGACCAGCTTCATCCACGCTAGAGACATGCACGCCTGAGTCTCCGGAGTAGAACCAATCCTCTAGGCACAGCCAACCACCCAGGTTCACACCACTGAGGTGTCCTGGGAGCCCCGGGGTCCGAACGCCTGGAGCAGTTGAGGCAGACCCCTGTTTGCTACGGGGGTCCGCGAAGAAGAGCTGTGGGAAGAAGAGTAGGCCGAATGTCAGCAGGATCGCCCCAAGTAGGCAAACCCCGAAGACCCGGCGCCGACACTGCGACTGCTTGGTGCCCAAGAGGGCCTCTCCCCCTCTCGCAAGCTCGGCCCGCATGGAGGCTCTTTGGGGAGAGGAGCTGTCAGCACTTGCTAGCCTGAGAGCCCGAAGGAAAGGGCAGGCTGTCGTTGCATCCTACAATGAAGTGCTAGCAGGGACGAGGGACACCCAGAAGAAGGGATCAGGAGTCAAAAAAAGGGTCCATGATAAGGAAAGCGATGACATGACATGGCCATTTGAAAGCTGAGGCATTTCAATCCACCCTGCGCTTACAACGGCTGCTCTTCGAACTCATACGTAGAGCTGATATGGGTGCGTTAATAAGTAAATCAGCCCTTCAAGCACCAACTCTGCAACTAATGGTCGCATCTTCACGGAAATATCCTGAAGGAAGTCGTTTCCTTTGCCTAAGATTCAGGAGTTTCTGCAAATTGCGGTCAGTCTTTTGGGGGACCCCATAATAAGTATTAAGCTTCACAACTCCCTTCTTGGATGGTAGGCTGCAATCCTTTACCAAAGCTCGTAGCCTCGCTCCGGCAACTGTCAGCGGCCTTCCAGTCCCAAGAAGCCCAGGTTCCCTCACGTGGGTTTCTGGGTTTGTAGGTAATAGCCCTGCAGATAGCTAGGCAACTGTAACCCATGATAGGTACTTGGGATTCTAAAGAAGCTGCAGAAAACTTCAGTGCAAGAATGGGCGCTGTTTGTACGGAGGTTCAGGGCATGGGTGTCACCAAGCTATGTAAGGCATTGCAGCCAAGAACTTCTGCGATTAGACGTGAATTGCCACAGGCAAGGCGAGACAGACAGGCCCATCCCGACCTTGGAGTTACCCTCCGCAAGAAAAAGCAAGACCGATAAATCAGCATGTTTAAAGATGGTGTGGCGGAAACATGCTAGCTTCATCACCTTGAGACTCGCAATTGAGTTGCATTGTGCTTGCTGCAATGTTGCGCAAGGTAGAAGGTTTCCTACCGCCGCTGCATGACTGGATAAGCAGCAGTGACGGCCTGAAGTGCCATCTTGCCATCACCTGCGCATTGGGGTCAGCGAGTTCAGCAAAAGATGACCAATCTAAACTCACCTCCTAACAGTATACATGCGCGCAGTTTCCATGATCAAGCTTCACACTCTGGACTACTTTCAGACCCAACAGCCATCAGCAGACTCTGTTGAAAGTGCTTGTGGATGTGGAGTCCTCTTTCGTGTGTCTACCAGGACCCAGCAAAGGGACCAACCAGAGCAAACCCGAATTGCTAGGATCACTGGATGCGGAAGTTCAATCTTACGAGTATAGTATTGTTATGATTGTTACTATTATTATTACTACTTTAATTATTCCTATGCTGGTATAACTTGCACCGTGCTGCACCTGACGAGTTCGCGCGGACAATCCGTGACCTTGCTAGCAAGCCAGTTTTTGAGTGCTGGCCCTTCAGCTGTGCACTGGATGATTTATGGGGCATTGGGTAACATTCGGGACCCCGCACGTACTCATGCAAACATCTGTTGGATCAGCGTTGTGACGGGACAGCCAGAAGGACTCAAAACGCTAACTTACAAAATGCAGGAGTACTTGTGTTCTGCCTTGGTTTGGGGGCTTGTCGTTCTTGGCGTGTACTGCCCCTACCCTAACTGCCAACAGGTTGCAAAAACACAAAAGAAGCATTGACTACAACCTCTTCTACTGCCATTCAGGAATCAGGCATGCTCCTCGTCATGACATCTCGGGTTATCACTGCGTTGAGATCGAGAAACCAGGGAGATACCCCTGCGCTTGAAAACCACCAATTAGAAACTACTCCACCATGTTAGCCTCCAGACTTTGAAGGCGTTACGGTAGATGCTTCTGCCATGCCCTGGACACCGAATGACGCGGCGCCTTGTACACTGCATGCCATCTGGCTGTGACTCAAGACAAGGCCCCAGGCGCCTATATTGAACTTCTCAACACTTTCTCAACAAAGACAGGACCGCAAGTCAGCAAAATAGAGATCCAATCGTCTCCTTCGTCAGAACGCAAGACTTTGCACGATACCCTGCTGTTCATGGCCCTCCCAAGCAGCCGACGGCTCCGCATCCTCGGGCGGCAAAGAAATGAACAGCACCTGCTGAAGGACGGATTGTGCAGGAGGCCCAGGCAGGGAAGGAAAAGACTCCATCCCCCGATCCAACTTCCAACTATACATTGCATAGCTAACCATCCAACTATCCAACACCCCATCTTTGACTCGTCAAACCAACCAACGATCGCTTATCCAACCATCCAACCAACACACGTACGTGCGTCCATGCATACACGCAAATGGTTCAAGCGGGCATGGGGATGTGCAAGAAGTTCCGGGGCTTCAAGGTGCTGTTCACGGAAGAGACGCTTTTTGCAGCTAATCAGAGGAGTATGTTCTCTAGGCCATAGACTTGCTTCGAAATCCCCCGTGTTAAAGCAGGAACGCTTTCTTTTGGCTTGGCAAGTGGCCCCGGGCACCTCAACACTTTGGGCCGCGTTAGGTTTGAGGCTGTCGTACCTGCATTCCCAAAAAACACCTGATTATTGTTGGGCCTTATTCGCATGAATGGATTCCTTCAAAAACGCGATCCGGCATGAACGATCATGAAAGCAGGTCCATACAGCTCATGTGCAGACAGGCACCAGGGCTATGATTTCCGCGTGCTCCAGAAAACGTGCCCCGGATACTGCGCTCACTATAGAAGGATTCCCGACAAAGCAGCCTACCTCCGCCCATACATCGCCGGGCCGATAGTTTTGTCGCATGTACATGAAGCTACATTGCGGAGGACGTGGAGTACTCAAAAGCTCTTTTTCACAGTCCTGGCTTGCGGAGGGAGTATCACGCCAGAACAAAATCCAAATACTCTAACTGCTTCAGACGGGGGACTTGAGGCCTTGAGCTGGTGGAGGAGTCTACGGGGGGGAGGGGCCCGAACGGTTCAAGTTGTAGACATGGCAGTGCGACGAACTTTCCGCCCGCCGCAGCATGAACTACGGGGGGAAGGGGCCTGCGCGGTTCAAGTTGCGACGAACTTTCCGCCCGCCGCTGTATCACGAGAAATGAGACCACCCTAAATGCCGCATCCTTGCTAGAATCAACCTGCCACCCGAACGGCATTTTGCAACATGTGTTGTCTTCATTGCAAGATAGCATAACAATAGCCCTACATGATCCACGGAGAATCCTGATAGCGCCTTCGATCCGACACAGCCCTGATGCACTCATATATCAAAAGCCAAAGAAGAACTAATTCTGCACAAAACCCCTCGCCTTCAACCCTAAACTCTACGAAGCATCAAATGCCCAAAGCCCCCCCTTCCCCTCCAAATCTCTACACTACAAACACGAGAGACAGAGAGAGAGAGAGAGATAGGAACACCAAATTGGAAAGCTTTCCAGGAAAGCGGCCTGCAGTGAGCGCTCCACCAATGTGCCGAACAACTCGGACGGCAGCTCCAATGGGAGTGCCGTCAGCGAGCCTGAAGTTTAGGGACTTTAGGGACCCTACACAAAGGAACCTTAATATAGTGGAGCCACAGCCTTATGGCATAACATGCGTTTACGGCTGACGGACAAGGAACAAGGCTTCAGTATAGCATGGCAACGTCATTTCCAGCATATTTGCATATCTGAGAGCATCTTACCGTAAGCTACATTGTGTTCTGAAGTAAGTATACTACAAGAGCAGGTTTGCATATGGTAGAAATGTTTTTGCAATAAGGAGTTGAGAATACCCCGAGTGCGCATGAGGTACATTCAGGACTTGTAAGACGCTTCTGCCAAGTTCTGGTTGGCTTTGGGCTTAAGGGCCCCGACGTGTTCGGATGCATCTGATTATGCAAGTGCAACTCTCTGCAGCCTTGACGAAACAATTCAACAGTAGTTCTGGATACATTTTTTGTCAGACTATGCCACTGTGTCTTTCGCCCGAAACAGCAGCCTGGCTCCCTCTAAAGATCTTGCCAATTCGAGGCAGAGACCCTTGCGCGGAGCTTTTGCATTGCATATGGCCTGAATCATCCTGAATAGTCAACAGTACAGGGATCCATAGGTTTTGTCTTTCCGCAAACCATCGGTTGCTTTGGGTGTCCGTCCTATTATCTTGGGATATGGAAAGGGCACCCGAATGTGACGGATTCCCGCATGCCTTCTAGGGAGATCCACATGCGAGTTCTCCTTACTAACTGAGGGAAGCCTATTTACGGACAGGAATGGAAACTTGAGCCTGCATACAGGGACCTATAATACGGATTGCAGGGATACCCGGCGTGGACAGGATCCTATTCCGCCCGAAATGCCTGCTAGCAACTTGTGGCTTGGTCACAGCAGTTGAACTGGGAAACACACTGATGGCGTGAAGTCCAGGACAAAGCCTCAGAAAAGTGATCATGTTTGGAGTTTGTGAATATTAGAGATCGCTTTTTCGCAAGGGCCAAGGGGGGGGCCTGCTAGGGAATTCCCACCCACATTCTGGCTTTACAGTACCTTTGAGATCTTCTTGTTGCTGGGAGGGAAGCCACCATGTCATCTTGCCAGTTGTGGGACTCTTACTGCATGCATGTGGCAGGTTGACACCTTGCTAGATGTCAACATCAGGCTTCTTTCGAACTTGACCAGAATATGCAGGAAAACTTGCTTGGGTTATACATGGGTGGTTGTCAATATTATGATCCCTTTTTGGGTTCCTATTATAATACGGCACCTAATATTTAGGGTACCCAAAAAGGGACCACAATTTTGACAACCACCCACATACCTCCTGAGTCAATGCCTACACGGTGAGTCTGAGCTCCTCACAGCTCCGCGAAAGCAGCAGATCTTTCCTCGTCCTGCAGGCTACTGGTTCCTTTAGATACCTAGACAGTCTTGCTGCAAACTTAAAAGTGCGAGCCTTGCCGAATGCAAGCTGGATGCTGGTACTTGTTCATACTTGTTATAGAAAAACTAGCAGGAATTCTCAATTTTTTGCAGTGGCAACGACTGAAACTGAGTGCGTGGATGTGATCGCGGGTATTTGGGTTGAGGGTATGTAGGGGCACGTTGGGGAGA